CAATGAAGACAAATGTTAATAACAGAATTGCATTTATTTTTATCCAAGTTCCATTGATTTGAACATGAGAGGAGAGTGCAGCTCCTCACACAGCTGCCTTTGAAGAGACACAACAGGCAGTGCTTTTGTTCATCATTAAAAGTTATTACTTTAAAGGGCTGGCTTCACAACAACCAAGAGACACCCTGTTCAGCTCATTTTAGAATAATTCTTCCTTCTACTGCCAACATATTTGAATATCCAAGTCTGCCCTGCTGCCTGAAGCACAACCACAGTCTTCCAAGGGCTGTACCTCCACAGGCTCCCAGACACCATCCTTAGTCCTACATCCACCCAGGACACATTGCAAAACCAGACAGCCCTCCTCCATCACCGCTTTTTGAGAGCTTAACTTATAAATACTTGCAGAAAAGGAAGGTACAGAAACAGAGAGCAGCACTGGTATCATCTGAGCTGAGTTTGTGTGGAATTTCCTTTTGCACAAAGAGCTGGGAGGGGAACAGGGCAAACCTGTTACACCAGCATGGGCAGGGAAACCTGTCCACACTGAGAGATAGAAATGCTCCGCCAGTTCCAGGGAGATAAAGGCCAGAAATACAAGTTTTGTATTTTGATGGTACATTAGAATAAACCACGCCAAAAACTACTACAAGTTATCAAAATTTCTGTGGACAGAGACTCAAGTCAAAAACTAAAAAAAATGAGCTCTAAATGTTTCAAGAACAAGATTTTCCCCTATTTTTGATTGCCTTTATTGTTTAGCCTGAGACTCTCCAAGGCAAAGACTGCCACTTAAATTATTACTTTCAGTTGTGCAGTACCCAAAACAAGAGGGCCTGCAGCTTGGCTGGTCCCTAATTAATAATGTAATTAGCAGTGACAGGAGCATTAAGAGCCCTTTATGCCAGTTGATGCTGGAAAGCCCAGTGGGTTCCAGTCCTAAAAAATAATTCCAAATTACACTTAGAAGTTAGATTATGTAGCACTTCTCCACTGAGTCTGCACATCCATATCTGAGCAACAGAAGCTGGGGAGGAATTTTCCCTCAGCCAGGCTGAGAACAAGACCATGCAGATCTGCTATCCAGATATGGGCCTATTCCTGTAAATTCTCTGTTTATCTCCCCTGTTGTTATGATTCAGGACACTCCCAGATTCAGCTCCAAAACCCAGCTAGAAGCAATTCCATTTTTAGAAAGCCAGGACTTTGTTTAGGAAGCCCCAATCCCCCTTGAAAACTGCCAGATTGGCTGCTAAACGATTGAGAAACCATGTAAAGCAGATACAATAAATCCCTAAACTGCAGTTCAATCGAAACCTCTTTACTCTGTGTTTGTTTACTTATGCAAAGCAAGAAAAATCACAACTCTCAGAGCTGTGGACAAGCACTTCCAGCTTCCAGGACACAGCAGGAAGAGGATGTACCTTTCCCCCCAGAGTTACCACCCTTACAGCTGCTTCCCTTTGATTTTACAATTCTGCCCGAATTATTCATGTCCGAGATAAGGAACGTGGATATCGCTTGTAACCTCTCAATACACTGGGACCCAAACAGCACCAGGAAAGGAAGGGGACACTCCTTTCCTAGAGGCCATCATCATCATCACAGCTGTTTCCTCTCTGCTGTTACAACACTGCTCAGATCACTCGGACACAACAGGGGACCGCGGTGCTCTTTAATGCCCCATCAGAGCCCAGAGGGGCCTTATCAAAACCTGATAAACACCTGATAAACCCTGATGGCCCTGGCCAGCCTCACCTGGGGCCTCTGCCCACACCCTCAGCGCTGCATTTAAGCTCTGGCCTGAAAGCCCAGTTGTTTTGCCCCCTGTTTTAGGGGGTCTCAGTTCCAGCCCAGGCTGTGCCTGGCTGTAGATCCTGTTGCTATGGAGGCTGACTCACATCTGACCTCATCTTAGACTGCCCTGTCCTGTGGACCTGTCCAGCCATCGTCAAACCATGACTGACCTTGTTCCCATCACCCAAAGTGCAGATGGACTCCCCAGCTCAGCCTTGCCCCTGTCTCATTGCTGTGAACCCGGCAGATCACCTCGATTTTGGCTGCCTCCAGCCCTGAGCCCCGAGCCTGCTCTTCTCTCTTTCCCCAGGGAAAGATCCTGAGTGGTTCCTGTCCTGCTCTGTGTTATCTTGCTCACCTCCCCTCTCCACACCTGTACCCTGGCTCACAAAACATAAATTTGCCATGAAATGGCAATCTGGCTCATTCTGTGCTGAGCTGTGCCTGCAGGCTGCTCCTCCATCGTGATTTTCTGACACTGCTGATACCTTCCATCCAACCTCAACAATTCTCCTTGATACACTTAAAAAAAACCCCAAACATTCTGTGATGAGTTCTAATTATATGCTTAATTACAATTAAGGACTAAAGAAAACAGATATCCAGGCTAATAATAATAACTATAATAATAATAATAATAACTGCATGTACTGAGAAAAGCAGACTTACAGCAAAGTGATCTTGGGTGAAAGCTACAATGAAACAAATCAACACCACAATGAAAATTATTGTTACAGCTTATTAATGACAGTCAGAAGCTGCTTTGTATCTTGACAGAGATATAAATTTAAATACAGACATCTTTTAACATACAAATTCTTAGAAAAATGTATAGGCAAAGAAAATAAACATGTTATAAATTCTATTTTTTGATCATTTTGTATAGGTAATTGGGGAACTTACAGGTACCACAATATCCTAATAGTTGGTGAAGAAATATTGAAAAAAAATAAAGATCTTCAGAAATTTTCCATTCTGTTGCATAAAAATCCCTGATTGCTAGGAATCATCCTCAGGCTAAGGATGATTCTGGTACTGAAGGGAGCTCCTAAAGGAAGCATTCTCAGACTAAAAAAGGTTCTGCAGGTGAACCAAATCTCAGAATTATTGGGGAATTTTTGACCACTCAGGCAGTCAAAGTGCTCCTGATATTTGTTATCGGCACAAAATGCTCCGATATTTGTTATCAGCTGCAGCTGTGGTTGCAAGCAGCTGTTTCTCAGGAGTCAAAATTCCCCAGCTTTCCGAGGTGGTCTGTGCACAGGGATTATAATAATTACAATATTTTAAAACAAAAACAAAAAAAAAATCAAAAAACCGAAAAAAAACCCCCGCAGCTTCCCCACCCCCGGCCAAATTCCAAGAAAATCTCTAACCGGAGTTTCCTAGAATAAATGATGCGATGTTTGCAGGTCCGTGGGTTTTTTTCAAGCTGCGCTGCAGTGCAAGGGCTGATGCTGCCAGGACATCTAGTGGCACACAAAAGTACTGCCCAGAGAAAGAACATTACTAGAAAAACAGATTTTTTTTTATTTTTTTTTCATGCTTCCAGATATTTCCTGGTACCAGTCCAGGTTTCTTTGGCTCTCGGTGAGATTTCTCTGTTTGTTTTTTCACCTAAGAATATACAAGGAGGAAGTGAAATTGTGAGAAAAAGATGTACAGGAATATCTGAATCACCTCTCTAAATAAAGATGGGATATACTACAAAATCTTGATAAAATAAAGGTTAAGGGCATTGATTTTTCTCTCCCTTTTCACCCTCACTTGCCTGGCCCAGTCCAGTTCTTTATCAGAACTTGTACAGCTGTTACTCCACACACTGAAAGGGAAAATCAGAATATTTGAGTTTTAGGAGCTGAAAGCACAAGGCTCCTCACTGAAAAATTAGATTTATTGACATTGATGGATTCCCATTGCATAGTCTTCCAATTTTTTTTTTTCTTTAGCAATGTGCCAACCAAAAAGCCATTTTAATTGCCCCTATTCATGTTCACGTTGCTTCTTCTGTTATTTTCATTTTGAGCAACAAGTCATAGAAACCAGGCCCAATATACATTTTATTTTATTTGTAAATGTGACTACAACCACTAGCTTAAATAGGTGCAAAATATTTGAAATCGGTGCAAAACTAATCCTGTAAAGCAGCAAAAATCCCTTTGTTTGTCACATATTTTTCTGGCTATATTCAAAATCAATACTTTAACCCTGGCTTTAAATAGAAAAGCAATTTTCCTGTTGTTTGGACTACCTGATGTTCAGACGTCTGCTGTTGCCATAGCTCCCAGGAAGAAGCTGGAACTTGCTGGTAGATCCACGGCTGAGCTGGAAACAAGCACTTCAGCCCTCCCAGTAAACAACCATCCCACAGCTCCCTGTGGACGATGCTGCAGGGCTGAGGTAGGGAGAGCTTCACTCTTTTTTGGGGTTTTTTATTTTGCTGTCACCCCACAGAGGCTGATCTGAGGGAGGCTCAGGGGGTTCTTTTTGGCCACTGTACCCCTCTGAGCCCCACGGCCATGGGGGGACCCCACACCCAGGGGGGACCCCTGTGCCAAGGGGGTGCCAGGGCTGGGGAGGGACCAGCCCAGGGCCTGGGGGCTGCCATGGCCCTCGCTGAGGGGCTGATCCGGCCTGGGGGGCACCGTGGGGAGCAGCCTGTGGGCAGGGGAAAGCCAGCAGAGCCTCACGGGGAGAGAAAAGGGCGGGAAGCGCCGTCCCCATGGGGAAAGGCTGAGGGAGATGGGGGTGCTCAGCCTGGAAAAGGCTGTGGGGAGACCTCACAGCGCCTGCCAGGACTTGAAGGGGCTACAGAAGCCGGAGAGGGACTCTTCGGTAGGAATTATAGTGACAAGGCAAGGGAAAATGGGTTCAAACCGAAAAGAGGGAAAATTCAGGCTGAATATCGGGAGGAAATTCCTCCCTGGGAGGGCGGTGAGGCTTTAGCACAGATCGCTCAGGGAGGGCGAGGCTGCTCCCCGGGAAGCGTTCCTGGCCGGGTTGGAGGGATTTTTGGGGCCCCCTGGAGCAGCGGGAGGTGCCCCTGCCCGGGCACAGGGTGGCACTGCCCGAGCTCTCAGCGCCCCCCCAGTCCCAACCCCTCCATGACTCCCTGACAGGAGCCGGCCCCGCCCACCGCGGTCACGTGACGCGCCCCGCCCGACACGTGACTCGCCTGACCCGGAAGTGGCGCGCGGGGGACGCTGACGCTGGAACAAAGATGGCGGCCCGCGGCGCTGGGGCCGTGCTGGGGCTGCTGCTGCTGCTGCTGCTCCGCGCGGGCCCGGCCCGCGCCCGCGTCCACCACCTCACCCTCAAAGTAAGGTCTGCGCCGCCCCCGGCCCCGCTGGCTCGGCCCCCGGGAGCCCTGAGGGGAGCGGTGAGGCCGGCCCGGCCCCGCGCATCTCCCGCGGGCCGGGATTGGTCTCCCCACGTCTCTCTCTCCGTTCTGCTGCGTGCCCCGAACCTTCTTTCTATTCGCTTCTCTCTGAGCTCTCCCCCTGCGCCTCAGCCCGTCCGGGCCCCGCCGTGCTCTGCTTTTGCCGTTTTCCTCCCGCGTCCCCCAAGTCCCGTCCCGCTGTTTCTGGCCGCCTGTTTGAGTCGCGGGTAAAGCGTGAGGGGCCGGAGCCGCAGCACTGTGAGGGTGCAGCTGCTTCACCTTTTGTTAAAACCCGTGTGATAAGAGAGAGCCGAACGTGGGCTGAGGGAGAGCTTTCTGAAAGTGGGTTTTGGTTGAGTTTCCTTTCCTGCAGTGCCCTGGTCGCTGCGAAGGGTGCTTGGCTACAGTTGCTGTGCCCTAAGCAAGCCATTGGTAGAGGCTGAGGAAATTGGTGTTGGCAGCTTTTTGTTTTGTTTCCGTGGACTGCAGGGTGTGCTGTGAAGGGTGATGTGTTAGGCTGTGACTGTATTTGAGAAGAACTCGTTGTTCAGGGTTGATGGGGAATGCTGGAGGTCAGGGTGAAGGTGTGCTCTGCCTGGTGTGCTGTGCCTGAGCCCCTGCACAGCTGTGGGACAGGGGCTCTGCACTGGGGTGATGCCCCTTAACGCTCCTGTAGAGCTCATGGAAAGCTCTCTCGCTCTTCAGCATTTCAATTTTGTTTTGGGTGTCAACAACACGCAGTATTCTGCCAGTAGAAACATTGGAAAATATAATAAAGTGGTAAATGACTGGTTCCTGCATGCCCCTTAATGCTTCTGTAGAGCTCATGGAAAGCTCTGTCAATCTTCAGCATTTAAATTTTGTTTTGGTTGTCAACAGCATGCAGTATTCTGCCAGTAGAAACATTGGGAGGGATCATAAAGTGGTAAATGATGAGTCCTGCTTTGCTGTGCTGTTGGAGTTTAGGGAGAATCCAGGATTTGTATCCCCCAGACTTTGCAGCCTTTGGGATGCAATGATTGCTGGAGGTGTTCATGTCTTACTTGTGGGAAATTTTCCAGACTGTGCAGTTGTTTGAAGTGCAGCCACATGAATATTGTTGTACTGCAGGAGAAGTAAACTTGCTCCTGCAGCAGTCAGTGAGGAGGCTTATGCTGGTTATGTTATTGTTTTGAGGAATTTGTGCCAAACAGTTGAGCACTGATGGATTTCTCCTGGGAAGATTCTCTAACTTTTAGTAGAAAACTTCCCAACTTGCCTCAAGCAAATGTTCTCGTGGCCTTTAGTCCCTATTGGGGACTGCCTGGATCAATTACTGAATCCTGTTGGGTTTTTTTCCTCTCAGAGTGAGGAATGGGTTTGGTTTTGCAGGTGTTTTGTGCAAGCTGCAGCACAAACTTGCTGTGAGAAGCAGCAGTGAGTTAATGCCCCTGCCCACCTGCTTTACAAACAGCTTCATTGTCAGAGCAGTTGAGCTTTATTGCCAGGGCAGTCTCTCCCTTCCTCCTTCATCCCCTGCTCTACAGCCTGTGTGTAAACACCAGCTCCAACAACTGAGTCCTTTCACAATGAAATCTCCTGTCTGCTCTTCTTGCCAGTGGCTCCTGCTTTGCTTGCAAGTGTGCATTGACACTGAGCCAAGCTAAAGGCCACAGTTCTGTGGGAGTGTTTGATATTAAATTTCCTCAAACAAGCTGTTATTCCTTAGTTCAGAATAGCTTCATTCTTGGATCTTTGTAATTACTGTGCCGACGTGAAGCTTTCTTGTTGTCAGAAAAACAAGCCACAGTCTGAGCAGTTTCCAGTTCTAAAAATAACATTTTATCTTTATAAAAGTGTACAAAATAGGAGTTTTTTTTGCAGTAGAGAAATTATTTGCTTGAATTTTGCCGTAAGACTGACCTTGCCAGAGAAGCTCCTCCTTAGCAACAATTGTTATCAGCTTCATTAGTTTAATGAAATATATTAAAAAACCCAAAACACCTCAGCTAACAAAACCTACCTCCTACAAAAAAAATACCCCTACAAAAATTGGAAGTTACAGAAGACCAACAGAAACAGTTTTCAGAAGATTCCAGAAGTAGCTGCAGTTGAAATGTTTCTCTTGACCAAAAACAAAGCCTTTGTCAGACATGGAATTATAAAGAAGATGCTGGTTTTCAATGGTTGCTTGTAAATACCTGTGGCTTTTTAATGTTGATTAAGGTTTCAGACTTCAATAGCTCAGGCTGAAAATACCTTTCACAATAATTCACTCAGTCTTACACAAATTACAAGCCTTCCTGTTAGTCTCACACAAATAAGATTCTTTCCAGGTAGGGGTCACCAGTCTCTGGTGGAACTTTCACTGCACTGACAATGTAATCTCAATTAGGTTTAGGGTAAAATGATGGAAAATATTTTTCTGCACATTGTGAGCTACAGAATTGTGGATTCCACTTCCCTGTAACCTTATTCAGATATTGCAGCATCCCTTTTTATCCTACAGGAGTGAAAGAACTGGGGAGATTTTTATGGAAACAAGCTTGAGAACTTTGGGTATTGGTTTGACTGTAAGCTGTTAGTGATGAGTCCCAGATCATCTCCTCTCATTTTAAATGCATCCTGTGTCAATTAAATTAATGTGTGTATTAAACTTGGATGCTGAAGTATTCACTTGCATGGCTTCACACCTTTGTTGTAAACTTAAATATTTCTGAAGTGAGTAGTTGAGTGATTATAAATAAAAGCTGGGTTCTTCCAACCCCATTAGTTAGCCAATGTCTTTAGGCTGTCAATATGTGGAGCAATTGATGCTCTTGCTGTTGCTTGGTGGCAACTGGTGACAGTGTGAGTGTGTGTGTGGGATCATGTAAAGCTGAAGGATTTGTGAACTAAATCTGTAAACTCTAAGCACTCAAAGCTGAGATAAAGCCAGGGAGGAAAGTGCTGTGTGTTGTATATTAACGATCTGCTGGTGGTGGGGAGCATATCAGTAAATTACAGAGTAAATCACTTCAGCTGAGCTGAGGAGCTTTCACAAGTGCTCTGGATTGGGGAGCTGCCTCTGGGCACATTTCAAGGTACAAAACCGTGTCCCCCTCAGTCACCCAAATTCTCCTCTGTCCATTTGGGGTTAAATACATCTGATGTGCCCTGTGAAGAGCCAGGCTGAATTTTCTGTCCTGGCTGGGAGGTTTCATGGAGTGCCGTGTTAGAGGAACCAGGGGGGCTCCTGTTTCCAGCACCTTCCATGCCCCAGAACCCACAGACAGCAGAGCTCCAAACTCTGTTAAACACAAAATTTGCTGCAAGCCCTGGGGCACCTAACTCTGCTTTCCTCTTCTGAGCATCAAGGGAACCATCTGGTTATTTGCCAGGTGAACTTGATTCTATTAGGGTGATCTGATTAGAGCTGGATTCCAGGTTAGCTGTGGCAGGATGTGTCCTGCTGTTCCACTGGGGGATGTTTACCAGGCAGGAACGTTTTGTGCAGAGGCGTCAAAATCAATACTGGGGCAGAGAGAGAAAGAACTTCTTGTACTTGTACAGTTCAGAGCTCAGGCTTCCAGGCCTGTCTCCAGAACAGTGTGCCTTCAGCAGCTGACTTCTCTTTTTACACAATTCTGCAATCTGATTATCTTTTCCTAGAAGAAGCAGGAGGAAGAAACGTATTTTAATTGTTTTTTATTGCCGACTTGTCTAGTGTTTTAGATTCCATTTTAAATTTGCTTTTTGATTTCAAATGTTTTAGATTCCATTTTAATTTTTTTTTATTTCTGTTGCCTTGTTTTTGCTTTTCTTCCACTTAATGACCCAGTAGGTTTGAGGGACCAGCTGCAGAGGCTGGATGTGACCTTTTGTCATCTGATGTGGCAGCTGTGTGTGACGTCAGCTGCTTTTCATCTGAGGTCCTTCGTGGCCTCCTTATGTAAAATAAAATTAAAGCTCACTGTACTTGAACCTTTATAAGCTGAGCAGGGCATGAGAAGAGATCAATTGCTATGGTTTCCTTGTCAGACTGAGAGGGAGGAAATTATTCTGCAGCTAAACTGGGAGCAGAGGAAGGGATTTGATTTTTCCTGCTAGAGAAACCAACCCAAATATTCTGGTTTTGGTATTTATTCTCTTTTTATTTTTTATTTATTTTATGCCAAAAATCATTTGGAGGTGTGGGACTATATATAAAACTTTCTTTTCACACATAGTTTTCCAGTGTATTAATGTTTGCCTGTCCAAACACTGACCCTGCCCAACACAGATGATCTGAGGTGGTGACAATGCACTTGCTAAACACTTGGCCAAACCCCAGCTCTTGGTTAGGCAAGATCCCCAAAGTCTATTTCCTCTTCAGTCTGTGGCAATGACAGCAGCCACAAGTTAAACAATAGCTGTCTTGATGTGTCTGCAGTCACTTTGGGGGATTTTGCTGTATGCTGTTTAATCAGTGATGCCAGAATTTTACTTGAATATTTCCTAGTAGCATAGCAAGTCAGTAAGCAGAAATATGTCTGTGAAAAGTTCTTGCTGTTCAGGTTATTGGAAAAGTTGGTCCATTCCAGTGAAATAGTTGATTACATCTGAAGGTATCCTAAAGAAATTTGCTGTTTGCATAATTAGATGTTTTGCATGAATATTCAAGTGTCAGTCACTCACCCTGCTTCCCCTTTGCTGCAGCAGATGACTCTGCATGTGTTTGTAAACTTGCTTTCCTTTCTGACAGGATGATGTGAGGCAGAAAGTGCACCTGAATACCTTTGGTTTCTTCAAGGATGGTTTCATGAGTGTGAATGTCAGCAACCTTTCCCTGAATCCAGAACCAGGCCCTGATGAGAAGGACAGTTTATTAGTGAGTTCCTCCTGTGAAATTGCCCTCCACTTGTCTGAGGTGTCAAATCCAAACTCTTGATGCTGTTGGCTTTGCTTCCCAGCATGAGCCAATGATGAGGATCTGTGTATTGAGATTTATCCCTGAGCACTCTCTTTTCTGCTGTAAGGATGAACCTTTAACTTGTTGGATCTCTGCTGAACTCAATGCACACATCCATAGCTTACATTGAACATCAATTTCCTAACACTCTTCTGATGAGTTTTTTCACACTGTATCATGTTGCATTGCAATTCAGCTTGTGGTCATTGTGTCAGTAGGTTTCCAGAACAGTGACAGTCTTATTTTTAACAGAACTCTAATATTACATGTTATACAGCACATTATATTAGGGGTTTTAAAAGAGATTGGATGACATAACAGAGTTCTTCCTCTGCTGCACAGTTTCACTTCTTCATTATAAAAATATTAATCTTTTTGTCAAGCAAAAATGTGGGGAATAATACTGAAATAAGTGAAAATGTTCAGAGACAGAAGATACTCCAGATTTAGTTTGGGTTTGAATCATGATTTATTTTTTCTTCGTGGATATGGATGAGTTTGTTACATTGGAATGTATTTTTCTGCCTGATTTGGTGATGAGAAAATACCTGAATTCCACCTTAAATGTAGATTAACTTGTTTAGAAAGCAGTATTTATGACTCTTTCAGTAGTGGTTTGGCTTCCATTTGACAGATTCCTCTCACTTGTCTCCTAGGTGGGGTTCAGCTTGGACCGAACAAGGAATGATGGTTTCTCCACTTACCTGGTAAGAGTAAGGAAAGTGAGCTTGCTTTTCTAAGATGGGACATCTCACAGTCTACCTGACTCTGGGGATGGCTGGAAGAAATAAAAAAAATTAAAAAAAAAAAATTAAAAAAAAATGGGGGCCTTTAGACACGGGCAGGATGGATTTACACCTTGCTGGACTAGGAATGATAATCTCTACCTGGAGGAGAACATGTCCAGAGGGCACTTCAGAGGTGTTTTGTTCATCTTATCAGGATGAAGAAGTGGATTATTGTATCTTGAACAAGACTCCAGAGCCAGATGTCTCTGTTGTAATTTTACTTTTGGACATCCAACATGAAGTGTGAGTAAAGAATGTAAAAGACATTTTAAAGTTACTTCTTCAGTTGAGGATAATGTCACACTTGAGATTTTTTTAGGGGCTTGGAAAGCATCTGTGCATGTAGGTTATTTTTTTTTTAAGGGGTTACATGACAGTTGAGAGGAGGTGAGTGTAAAACATCTGCAGTATAAAATGGTCCAAGAATTCTTCCTGTACATTGGAGAGGTAAAAGGACAGCAGGCAAAAACAACCTACCTTAATTGTCCTGAATGAGCTTAATGAGCTTTGATTTCTTGAGTCACTTTTGCACTCAATGTGAAATTTTGTTTGTCTTGAATTATCTTTTATTATGGAGGTATCTTCAAGTCTGTATTGCTTCCTTTTGCAAGAGCTCATGTGTGGTAACACAATTTCTAGTGAGACTCTGCTTACCAATGCTGAAGAAACTTAATTTTCTTCATCTGCTCTTGTATTTCATGTAGAGGTGGAGTGTGACTTTTCCCACACTGATCAGTTCTGCTGTGAGTCATGATCTGGTTCTTGCCTGTTCTTTGTGGTACAAAACAAGTTAAGACAAGTTGATTTTCCTTTATTGGGTATATGGCTGTGACAACCTCTTTAAAAACGTTGGTTTACTTTCATTTTGTAATAAAATCTCTTTGTTTCTTTAGTGTGAAAGTACAGTTCTCTTCAAAAGCTGCTTCTTTGTTACCTAAAATTGTATTTGTATCTGAGGAAAATGGTACTGCCTTAAATACCAAGCTGCTAAAAACTTCTGAACTGAGCAGTGATTCTGATAGAAGTCCTCAAAAGACCAGTGAAAATACAGGTAATGAAGGTAAGCTAGCTAAACCTGACCTGTGCATGCTCTCACTGCTGATTCCTCATTGCTGTGCATCCAGCACTGAGTTGTGGTCACATTCTGGGGTCCCCTGGGGCAAGAACTTCATGTACATCCTGTGTAACCTGTGCATAGAGCTGCCTGTGGGGCTGGAGTCTCCTGCTCAGTGATTTGTGTTCACCACTCCTGTTGATCCATCAGAGTGTCAGTGAGTGTTGGAGACCTTCAGTGCCTCTGAGGAGGGGTTCACAACTTGCTTGGCTTTTGTCTGGCAAAAAGAAGGCTAAAGGGGGAATTTTATGGCCACCAACAATTAGTTGAAGAAAGGTTAGGAGGACAATTTCAAGCAATTTTTAGTAGTGGCACATGATGTCTGTTTCTCTTTAAGTCTTGGATTTCTCAGATGGGATGTTAAGACAGAAAATAAGTGAAATAAATAAGATTTCTTTCCTAAATAGGTATTCCAGTATTGTAGCAGATGATTTGTGCAATCCAATCTCCATATTTTGTGGTTTTAAATACTTGATAAAGTAAAACCAGGGCCAACATGATGCAGCTGACACCAGGTTTACTTTGAGTCAGAAGTTGGATTTGTTTTCAGGAGTCCTTTCCAGCCAACATTTCTATGAGTCTGTGTCTGTCTAAAGAGTTGAACTCCTATCACTTAGAAACTATGGGGAGGGAGGAGTAATTGTCCCAGTAATCTTTCTAGGAGGCACAAGCCTTTGTCTGGCTTCCAGACCAGCAGACAAAATAATTTTATAATCTCAGCTCTAATGGGATTAGCTCATGTTATCCCTTCCTGGCAGAGTTTAGATTGCTCAGCAGTCTGATCTGGGGTAGTCTGAGTCTGTCTTGGCCTGACACATTCACCAGCTTTGATACCATTCAAAAGCTTGGACAGCTGTTGTAACAAGTCAAGAACCAAGGGTGGATGGCACTGAGAGAATGGATCTGACAGCTAAAGTTTTGCTTTCTCTGGTGTAAAAAGTGCAGCATGATTGTGGACAGTGCACTGAGGTGTGGGAGCCAAAAGCAAAGCTCAAGTATTGAACTTTTGCTTCCTGGTAGAAAAGGAATGACCTAATGTTTGAAAAGCTTCTTGTAGGAGTAGAGTCAAACTGTGAACTTGACATGCTGCTCTGCTGAAGGCTCCTGTCACCTCAAGTTCAGAGGAAATGCTGACCCAGCAGGCCACCTATGCTTTTGTGGGTTTTTTGTTTGTGTTTTTACTGGGAGCTTAGTGGAAAGCTGTGAATTTATTCCTTCCTCATATGGAAATTAGGATTTCCATATGTTTGTCAGGCCATGTATTAATGCTCAGATTGAGATTTGTTAGTGAGGTTAACAGTACTCAGTCATAACATAAGTCAGAGCTGTGTCTTGCATCTGCTTTAGGTCACCTGCCTCTGGTCACCTAAAGAGAGGTTGGAAAGATTTCTGGGGTAGATTTTTGTAGGGGGTGTAAAAATAGGGAAACATATCCTGGCATGTGAGGATGCATTCAGAATGAATGCTGGCTGTGGGAAGAGTCCTCTGAGAGTAAGGAGAGACTGGGGCAGCATTTCTGTCAATGATTAATTAGCTGGGAAACTGCCACGCAGACAAGTGTGGGAAGGTGTGAGCGAGGTATTGACAGCGTGGTGGTTTCTGAGGGTGTCTAAATGCAAACACTGAATGTACCATTCATACTTTTATCTCTAGATAAGGAGTCCAAACGAAGTACAACATCCTCCAAGGTAAGAAACTATCTGGAGTTCTCTTTCACAAAGACCCTGGGGGGATATTCCAGTATAATCATAGCAGAAAGGTGGAGAGTATTTGCTATTGCTCTCAGCCTCCACTGTAAATATACGAAATGCAAATTTTATTGTCTGCTTGATGTTTTAGTTACCTGCTTAAGAAAATCTAAAGGTCTTTTTCCCTTTTCCCAGGACATGATAGAACAACAACATCCTGTACACCATGTGCAAGGAATTTTTTCATTTCAGGTAGGGTGTCTGCCAGTGTCTAAACTCAGTTCCTTCACTGTCCCACTTTGGAAAAGTGAAAGTCTAGGATATAGATGTCTCTCTGATAGCAGGAGTTTGCCTGAAAATTTACTGAGCTAAGCATCAATGATGGAAATCTTTCTTTATAAGTTGTGGGAGCTGCTTTTAAATTGGCTTTGTTGTGATGCTGTTCTAAATATCATAGTCTATGAGGCTCAGCATATTAAAGTTTACTGTGATAGTAGTGCAGATTGCTGATAACAAATAGCTGTGACCTGACTGACTCAAGGGAAGATCCTGTGTATGAAACCAGATTAATGCTTTGTTTGAGCACCCTGGTTCACTTGTGACGGTTGGTTACTACAAACACATTTGAAATTCTGTTATCTGACACAGATCTCATTTCCAGAGCTATCACAATTTGCGTAGTTGGGGGAGGAACAGAAAAGGGTGGGTATAATAAAAAATTTATGCTTTGCCATGTCAAATATATTATATTTGTGGTTATCTTTTCTCTGTGCTGAACTGAGTTAAGCACTGACACTTAACAGGCTTGGATTACCAGAGTGCATAGTCCTAGACAGGTGCAATGATTTTGCATCTGGAGTTCTGTTGAAACTTCCAGATGTGCTGCTATCCTTAGAACAGTCTGTATGCTCAGGGGAACCAGCTGACCTCAAATGACTGACTTCTTTCATGCTTCAGTAGAGATGACTTCCTACCAGGGCAACCCTGTTGTGAATGAGAAGAATGCTGACTTCTCTATCCCTCATTTCCAGTTCTATTTTAACATCAGCTCGGACAAACAAGAAGGTCTCTACAGCCTGTATTTCCATAAGTGTGTTCGTGAGAAAGGGCCAGCTAATGATCAGCAGCTGTTTAGTCTTGATGTGAGTATGGCTTCTAAAGGATAATTAACTTGTTAGCTTAGACTACAACATCCAACTTCCAGCTCCAGCTTGTAACCAAGCACACGCTGCACATGAGTGCACATGTGGGGTGGGAAGTGATTCACAATTGTGTGCCAGTCTCTGCAGTGGCATTTCTGAAAGAAGTGACTACTGTAAAAAATAATTAAAATACAGTTTTTGCAGAAATGCCTGAAAATCTGAAGGCTGAATGTGGGCTGGGTTCAGTCTACAGAGTTGTGACCTGATGCTGTAACGAGATGGGAGCTGCATCAGCTGCTTGTGTTTTGCTGCACTCAAAAGTCACTTTTCTCTTTACATGATTGCAGATATTAAGGCTGTTGCTGCAATGTAAATTGTTGGTATTTGAATTCAGTGTTTTTGCTTTTTCTGGCCTAATTAAAGATGTGTTTTTATGGTGTTAGATACACAGCCTAAAGGCAATATGTTCTAGCAAATGCCTCATCTCTTTTGATGTACAGGGGTTTGTTCCTATGTGGTTTTGGTTGCTATCAGAGCTTTCTCTTTTTTCCCTTTCCTGTGCTCATGCTGGTGTGTAATGAGCTGGTCTGGTATGAATCCTCTCACTGACTGAGGTACCTCAGCCACATCAATCCCTGAACTGCTTTTTATGTGTTTGTGTTAATGCTATTGCAAGGGAACATGGACGTGATAAAACTTAGCAGCCCTAATTTGACTCAGACTACTTCAGAGCTGCTTCAGAAGTTACAGGTTTAGAAGACCAGCTTTCATAAATTGCTGTGTGGGTCACTTTGACCCACTGAGGAAATTGGAAAGAGAACAAAATGTGCATGATTGGTCTGCTGGGGTGTACTTAGAGATGCAGGGCAGCTTCAGTGCTTCAGACCAGACTCAATGCGTGATTTTATTGAAGTCCTAGCACATATGACTAAGCCACTTAAGGGTATAAATAGAATGCTAAATAGTACTTCTGTTTTCTCAGTCACAGGAAAATAGGGTGGCAGCCCATTGTAGATATTGTTTCTGAATCAAAGGTGGGCAATTTGTGACGTTTGCTGGAGAGAACAACTTATTCTTTGGGAAAATTGCCTTTCTGAATTATGTTTCATAACCAAAGCATTATTTTCCAAGGAGATTATTCTGGTGGGAATAGTTTTGCAAAATGTTTTGAGATTCTTAATGATGAAGAATAGATTTTGGTTTTTTTTCTCTGAGACTCATAAGGAAGCCCTTCAGAAAAGCTCATGTTAAATGAATGAATTTGATTGCAGAATGTAATTGTTAACTCAATGCTTTAACAAAATGATATTTTTTCCAACTGCACACGTAACACACTTTTAATATTCAGATAGATGTTACGGAAAAGAATCCTGAAAGCTACCTCTCAGCAGGTGAAATCCCACTGCCAAAACTTTACATTTCCATGGCTCTCTTCTTTTTCCTGTCTGGGACTGTATGGATCCACATACTTCGGAAACGCAGGTAGGTTCAGGGTCTGTGACAAGTAGGGGCCAACCTTGTGTGGTTTTTATTTTTCATTCCTCTTCTTGTAATGCCCATTTCCCAGTCAGATCTGATCACCTCAAACTCCAAATCTGGCTCAAGGTTTGTATGCTTAATACAGATAGTTCATATTTGAAAACTGTTTCAGTCAGTATTGTTGTTGCAGGCTGTCATTCTAAAATTCCCAAATCTTATGTTGAAAGTTCTTCAGGTAGTGTACATATTGTGGCAAAAAATAGACAGGAAATTCCTGTAGCTGATGTTAAAAGGAGAAGACTTTGAAAATAAATAGTGAGAAAAAAATTAATCACTCTACTTCTTTATGAAATGGCAAATTATGGCAGTAGAGAGCCATAAACATCTTGATTATGGTCTGAATTATCTTTAGCAAATTTTCTAACAGTTAAGAGATAAATATATATATATGTGGGATATTCTTATTAGTTAATAATTTCAGTAATCCCAAGCAGTAAAAATCAGGGGTTTAGAACATGAGGCTGAAATATGGCTCAGGATGTGGCAGAAGCTTGGACTGCAGCATTAAGGGGAATCTTTTTACACTGATGGTCAGCTCAGCCTGGAAGCAACTGCTTGACACTTACAGGTTTTAAAAAAATATGAAATGTTTACTGCTGGCTCTTAAGTAATGCTCTTCCTTCTTTTTTTTTCTTCCTAGAAATGATGTCTTTAAGATCCACTGGCTCATGGCAGCCCTTCCTTTCACCAAATCCTTGTCCTTGGTCTTCCACGCGGTGCGTGCAACATCTCTGCCTGAAGTTGTTCAGCTAGGAAGGAGAAACATGGAATCCAGGACATGCTGTTAGGGAAATCTGCTTTGGAGAGAGCATAGTGGGAGGCAGAACTGGTCTTAATACTGAAGCATTAGAACTGAACTGCAGCTCTTTGCTGGAAGTGTTGTTTTTATCACCAAATTCTAACTTTAAATACAATTGAGATCGTGGCCTGAAGTGTTAAAGCAGCAAGGGTTGGGGTTTGAGTGAATTTCACAAATTTTAATGTTTTGGCCATCTGCAGTGGGCCTGAAAGCTTGGGCTGTGATGCTCTTCAGCTCCAGGGCTTGCGGTAAATATTAATAAATTAAAACCTTGTTTGTAAAATTCAAAGGCAAGAAAGTATTATGGTGTGTGGCAACAGACCTCACCTTATCAGCTCTGAGACTTTCCATAGATAATGTCTCTGTTGAATTGTATTGACTTTCTACTGGAAATATATCTCATGAACAAAGTAATGGCAAGCATTTAATCCTTCAGTGTTTGTGCCAGCCATGATCTTCACCTTAATGCCCACGGTGTTATATCTGCTACAAATATTTTTGGAGTCTAATGAAGTGAATCTGGCTTCCAGTGAAAATGAAACTAGCAAGCCTCTAGTCACCTAAAGCAACTGAACCTGAAAAAAAAAGAATGAAAAAAAATAGGTTTCAACTGCAGTTGTTTCACTGTAGTTAAGCAGGGGGAGTTGTGTGGGAAGGATGTAGATTGTACAAGATACATCCACTGGCACTTGGGAAATGGAGCAAATGGAAATGATCTCATTGTTGCTAAACAAAAGTAGAATGTGTTGGGAGGAAGTGCTCTCTGAGTGTGACAGAGCTGGGTTTGTACACACTGACTGGAAAGTGAAAATGGCAGTGGATGTGGAGCAGACCTGTTTTTAGAGGGTGGGGTGTCAAAAGCAGCTTGTAAAGTGTTGTATTTTCTGTTTCCAGATCGACTATCACTACATCTCCTCTCAGGGATTCCCCATCGAGGGCTGGGCTGTTGTTTATTACATCACTCACCTGTAAGTATGTCAGAAGATTGATGTGATAGATTCAAATTGTCACTGGGGCTTCTCCCTCCAGTAGAGAGTGGGAGATCTTTGTTCTCATGCAGACCACAGTACCAAAGACTCAGCAATCAGCCCTGTGTGAAGGGGAAAGCTCCACTTACAGAGGGCAGCTGCAGAGAATTGGCACTTCTGTGGGTGGAGGGGTAAAAGGATAACAAATGCTTTACTTTTCTTTGTTCGCACTAATATTCAAGTATCTCATTTGCTCCTGGTGTGAATGGTAAGTGGATACAGCTGTCAGTATTTGCTGCTGCTCACAATGGTGAATGGATGACTCCCCCAGGAAAAGATTGCATATATTGTGAATGGAGCCTAATATTGCTCTGTGATACAGAGTTGTAGCAAGTACATCTGCTTCACTGTTGTGGGATGGATAAGTGCTTGCCAAAATTATGGATAGGGAAGCATTTGTTTGGGTTTGTGGCTTTATTGACAGTGGGAGAAACCTGGGCAGAAGAGGAAGTGTGATGAAATAAAATAGTCTCTCACTGCAGTGTCTGTTTCTCTTCCAGACTGAAGGGAGCTCTTCTGTTCATCACTATTGCCCTCATTGGCACAGGCTGGGCTTTCATTAAACACATCCTGTCAGATAAAGACAAAAAAATTTTCATGATTGTCATCCCACTTCAGGTGAGGACTGAGCTGTGCTCACACTTCCTGTCTTGTGGGAGAGCTGCTTGTGCAAACTGGAAAAGGCTGTGAAAGCTTCACACAGTACCATGTAGTTCTTGCTTGTGTGAGCCTATTGGCTATTTCCTAGTCCAGAAGTTACTGTATTTCTCCTAATTTTTCTTCTATATTGAGCATGAGATAATAGTGATCAAAGAGTTTCAGCAAATAAAAACTGGCTGTAAGGAGTGGGACAAAACCTGGGCTGGAAAACAGTGCTGAATAAGTAGAGGAAATGAATTATAGTTGTCACTGCTGAAATGCTTGCTGAATGTCTTAATGAAATAAAAATTGGGAAATACAAGACTTGTAGGTCTGATGGGTCTGAGGGAAACATTCCCAGTGTTCAGAGTGCTCAGTGCTGGTCTCCTACTTAAGGAACTGAAATACACAGGAGAACAGCACTTTTGTTTGTTGTTGTATGTAGAAGAGATTTTCTGCCTTTCCAGATGCAAGCCCTTAGCAGAAGTAAATATAATTAGTGATTGAGGCTCTTACAGAGCTCAGGTGGGGAGTACAAAAGATGGTCAATGTCCAGTCTGAATTACTGGCTTGATTTAGCATTATGTATTTTCACTATTGGCTGTATGTGCCACACAGTCCTGTGTCTGTGTATCAAAAGTAAATTTTGCTCCTTTTTATCTCAACTGACACAGTAGATAAGGCACAGTATATAACAAAAGAACATTTCTGAATGTCAGCAGGAATAAGTTCCCATCAGTTTTATTTCTGTAAATCTTATGAAGATGCTGCTGAACATGTGACTTTTGGATGTAGAGCTGCAGAAAAATTACTGATGGTACTGGCTGGGCTTTTGCTGAATTGGCACCCACCTGTAGTGGCTCCTTGGGCAGTTTCTAAACCAGAACTTTGTGTTGTTGTGTAGGTGCTGGCAAACGTGGCCTACATTATCATAGAGTCAACAGAGGAGGGGACAACTGAGTATGGACTGTGGAAAGAAATCCTTTTCCTGGTGGACTTGCTGTGCTGTGGAGCCATCCTGTTCCCAGTGGTATGGTGAGTTGCTGGATGTGGGAAACATGTGAACTAAAGGGCATTGACAGCTCTGCCAAAGCAGAAGAACTGTGGTCCTGTGGAGTCAGGCATCCTGTTAACTTTTATATCAGCCTTAACATTTCAGTCTAGTGCTGTGGAAGATGCTCCTTTTGGGGATGTTGGAGTGGGGATAAGGGAAGGTGGGTGGCAGTTTAAATGTGGCCAACACTATGCAGGCTGTAGGTGCTTTTGAGACTTGGAATTTTGCAAAGTGTTGACTCTCTAAATTGAAAAAAATGGAATTTGACTTCACTGACTGAGATTAGATACTTGACTGCTAAATTTCAAAACAGAAGTGCTGTCTAAGATCAGGGCTGCCTTCAAGCAGAAGCTGCATGTTTATTTGACTGTTTATAAGAAATAATCCCACAGGGAGCATTTCCCCGCCCTTCCTTCCACTCTACTTGGCAGGGAATAATGTTGGTTATATAAAACTCAACCAAAACACAGATAATTCAGATAAACACTATTGTTGCTGCTTGCCAGTTAGCCAGAACATTTATCTTCTAAATGCATTTTGTCTTAATTGGATAAACAGCTGGGTTTAAAGGAGGATGTCAAGGAGCTTCTGGCTCCTTGCTTAGTAAACACAGAATATTCCTCTTTCTCCAGTATCTCCATTATTTTTTTCTGAAATGCAGATTATATAAATGTCTGGTAGCATGGCATCACTCTAGAGTGTAACTCTTGAGTTTTTCAGAGGTGTGGCTCAGTAGATGGAAATAAACTCCAGCTTGACTTGTGAAGGTGGGTTTCAGCTGCCCTTCTCTTCCCCTGCACACTCCTGGTGGTCTTCTGCCAAGGTTGGGAGATCTCTTCCAGGAAATTTGCTCTACCCACGTGTCCTTCCCCTTGCTCCAGTCAAAATGCTTCATCTCTGAGGTTGAGGAGCATTTGGCAGTGGTAAATAAAAGCTGAGAGACTCAATCTCCCGTGATAAAGGTGACTTCTGCAGTCACAGTTCTTGTCACCTAATGCTGGGATCTGTATGCCTAACCTAGTGAGGTGGTGGTACAAAACTTATTTCCGTAAAGGAATTGTATCTGAAAAACAAATGTGAGCTGTCTGGTGACTGTTTATGGTGTGCAACCAGTGTTCCTGCATTGCCATGGTGCCAACATAAACTGGCAGTGAAGCCCCTGACATAAAATCCTGCTCCTTTTTCCTCTGGATAGTGTCACTGCAGCTGGTGGGATGACTCATGTGAGCAAGGTGACTAAGACTTGGCCCCTGAATTTACATTCCTGCAGGGTAGTTTCTGTTACATAAGTTGCCTATGTAGATATGTAAGCTGTAATCAACTATTTAAATGAAAAGACCTTAAAAGAGCAGTAAGATGCCAAATGCTTGGCAGTACTTTGAAGAGTAGCTCAGCTTAATTGTACAAGTGGAAAGCATTATGCTGGAAAATGCCCCAGTTTCTCACTCTGCTCCCTCCCTCCCACAAAGCCTTCTGTAGGCTGAAGTAGGTTTTAGCAATCTGCTTTCTTAATCCCAAGGAAATGGAGGTACTTGAGCTGACTGCCTGAGCTGGGGGCATGAGGGGTGTGCAGTGCTAAGCACAGTTAATTAAGATCATACTCCAGCCATAAAGAGCTAACAAAACTTATCAGTGATCTAGAGGACTGCTGTGAAAAGGGAGTGTAAAACATATCATTCATCTATTCTTTATTTTTAGGTCAATAAGACATTTGCAAGAGGCTTCAGCAACAGATGGGAAAGGCAAGTAATCTGTATTCTTTCTCCTCTTTTATGCTACATGTTATAATGCCAGAATTTCAAACATGTAAAAACCAAACTAAGGCTGTACATTTACACTGTATTAGTGCCCCTCTGCTTTTCCTCAGTGGGCTCAGGGGAATAACTTTTGGAAAATTATCTTTTTCCTGTATTGCATTAATTATCAGAACTACAGTGTATAACCCATTCTCTGCTTCTTGCACAGCTCTCAGTGCTCAAGCTAGACATGACATCTAGAGCAAATCATCTTGACAGATTTGCCATTTTTTCCTCATTAGAGTGTTCAGAAACAGAACTAGAAATTAATTCCAGAATTGCTGACTATTAGCCCAAATAGACCCACTTATTTCAATTTCTGCACAAATGTGTTCCTGACAGAATAGAGGGAAATAAACTTCATTATGAAACAAAACATAACTTGGCATTCAATATAGCACAGTCCCTGACTTGTCCATGTTTGTGCAGCAGCTCCAAGGGCTGCCTGGGGAAAGTGGAGTTGTGTTTATTGTAGCACTGAAAAGGAGCTGATGGATGGAAAGGCCAAACATGGCTGCAGTAGAATGTACTTTTCCTGCCTTATCTGCTCATTTCTTCTGGATTAGGTCCTTGGATACAAGCTGTGGAGCACAGCACTGGCTTCCTTGGAAGCAGGCAGCCTTTTCCATCTTCTGTCATTCTGTGGTTTACTCTCCAAAGTTTCATCTGTAGAAAGTCATTTGTTGGCAACAGCCTTTTAACTTCAGTCCCATCCTTCAGCTCTTGGCTCTCCTTTCTGGAATTCTGTAGCCAGGTCTGGATACTCTTCCTGCCTTTTCCTTGGCGTTCACAGACACTTCTGCACTTCACTGATTGTAGGTGAAATGTAAGGCTGGGTACCGAACTTACAGATTAGTTCATTTTCTGCCATCTGTTAGATTTAAACAATACTTGTGATGAGTCTAGAATGCTTTCTTGATGTTCCAAGCTGTTAAAAAAGCCACCAAACAACAGCCCTACAAGTTACCTACCCCAAACCTAATGGTGGAAAATTACTAATTTCTAATAGAAACAAATGTTAAAAAGGTCAGTTATCAAAATAATATAATTGTTATTGGTAGCTTTCTTATCAGTGCACTCACTTGGGTTCAGTGATTTACTGGTGGATTTGTTTTACCTTGCCCACTGAACATCTGTTCTGGAGTATTTATGCTCTTACCTTTGATAAGTTCAGATTTCCTTGAAGCAGCCTGTCTGCTGAACCAAGGACTTCACTCCTGACAGGCCTGGTTCTTAGCTCAGTGGCCATGGATCTGTGTCCTGGTGATGAGCACACAGCAATTAATGCTTGTAATTAAGACAGAAACCCTGCAGGTCTGTGTGGCCCCATGTGATCCCCTGTACCTACCGTGGTTGTTATCACAAGGTGGTGCTGTGGAGTTTGATAAACCTCAGACATGCTGCGAAGGAGAGAAGTGAGGTGGCCATAGCAGGGATGTTCAGTGTATAGGCTGAGCCTATCCACTGTCCCTCATACCAGGTGAAATCCAGATCTGAGTAAATCCAGGCAGTTCTATAGGATGGTGTGTAAAAAATATGGAGGGAAAGAAATTCGAGAGGAACTGGCTGTGTCTTTACAGCCAGTCAGTGCTATGCACAGTAGCACTTAAGGTCTGGTTTAGTCCTGTGTTTTGTGTTGTTCCCATGGGTGATGATGCTCTTTATCCTGAATGTCACCTCTGCTGTTCCCAGCTTTACCTGCTGGTGTTGCCCTCTGGTTGTGCAGAGCCTGCAAGTTCAGTAACTCTGTATTCAAGGGGACTTAGCAACTCTGTTATGCTACACTGATAATAAAAGAATAGCTAAGATTTTCAGGGCAAACATTGCTCAGGCTGAGAGCAGATTGTGGCTGCAGTGCTGGGACTCACTTGTGAAACACAATCTGGTTGGACTATTTAGAGGCTGTTGAAAGGAGCCCACGGGGAGCAAGTGAATGGCAAAGTGATGCCAGCAGCAGAATGTTATCTAGTGCTGTCATGCTGCTAGTGTGGCTGGTTGAGAAAACCAAAAGTGATTTGGTTGCACTGTAAAAAAAGTGAAATCATTCATGTTAGGCTTATCAATGAATTCTTTTCATTATAACCACATGCTCTGTAAGCTTCCTTTGGAGGCCCTGTTCTTCAGAGGGGCTGCTTGATGTCTCAGCTTCTCATGGGAATAAAAAATAGAATCAATGCTTACTATTAAATCACAAGCATGTTTTCCCCCTGCAGTTAAAGGCAGTTTTCTCCTGAACTAGTAAAAGTCACTGGATTTTCTCATGATGCAGTTGAAGTGTCCCATGGTTAGAGCTGGCTGGGTTGTGTGCAGACATTGCTAGCTGGGCTGCCTCTGCCTGCTGGGATTTATTGTCTAGTCAAGGGCTGCTCTCCCTTCTTCTCTCACACAGACTTCATTAACTTATAGGAATTGGGGAATTACATATTACACATTCAATTGCTGTTTTTCCTGTTTCAGTTCCTGTTTTTCCTGAGTCTTCTGGTGATGTCCTTGCTGATGACAAAGACCTAAAGAAAATTATTTTTTCTTCCTTGCATCTGTTAGGACTAACAACTCCAGGACTTCATGGCTCAGTATCCTGGTGGTGTTTCCTGCCTGTTTGTCCTGCTCTCTCCCAGCTGCTTCTCCACCTGTTTATTAGGTAGCAGTGCCCTGGGTCAAGTGGCAGCCATGACTGGAGTGTGACTGGATTAGGAATGAAGCAGATTTGGATTTACCAGACCTTTAGTCTGGACTTGTCATAGGCTTTTGTTTTAGCAACATACAATTAATAAAAAAGCCTGCTATAAGTGGCACTAAATTGGAGTCACTAGCTAATAGTAATTTAAACTAGATGTGATATTTTAAAAGAAAAACAAAGTGGGAAAGCTGGAGAAATAGATTTCTATTTCTAAAGCCATAATTATCCAGGGAGACCTTACATACCCAGATGCTCTGGATTGCTAGTGAGGAGTAGGCAGGGCACAGTGCTGTGGCTGAGTTTGAGCTGCCTGGTTGTTTGCTTTTTTCCCTTGAAGGTAATCTTTAAAGCAGTATATCTGACCTACACAGGCTTCTTATCTTGCACAGCAGTGGGCGTAAACATCCCATTTTTAGAATCTCTTTTCCTCCCCTTTTGAAATCGCCACCTTCAGACTTAAGCAAGTGCTTAGCTGCACCTTTGATCTGTCACTATATCTTCCTTCAGGTGGGAGCCTTTGCTCTCTGTCCATTTGTAGATCTGCATTGCAAATGTCTTGCAGATTTAAGGAAATCAGCCTTGCAAACTGACCTAGAATTGCTCAGCCTGCAAAGCTGCTCAGCTGCCACCACCTTGTTTACAGGCATCTTGAGAGAGGGAGTTTGTATAGAATTTATACATCATTTTTGTTTGAAACTCCCAGTTTTTGGTCACTGGACCAAAAGGTCTCATAGCACATTCTTGTGATCACATCCTGTGTTGTTTGAGGGAGGAATGGGTTGGAAAGCAGTTTGTTGTGCTGGTACCTGTGTGTTTGTGATGAGGGATTTGACACAGCACAGTTGGATCATGGGTTGCTGTTTTCCTGGAGCACTGCAGTTAAGAGTTGGCAGCAGAATTAGGGAATTACATGGCAGCCAGTTGCTTCCAGGCATCATTCATTCCCTGTGCTCTGTGCAGTGGGCAAATGATGATTAATGCTTTTGTGCTTGCCCCCATGTCAGGAAAAAGCATTTGCAGTATTCAGTGTCTTCCTGCTGCTGTGCCATGGAAATGCTGTGAACAAAGAGGCTGGTGCTGTGTGGTGCAGAGCAGCCTGTGCTTGGCTGGGCTCAGCACCACTTCCAGGTGCCCCAGAGAGCTGTCCAGGGTTGATGTGGCAGCTCTGTGCTTATCCTGTGCTTTGGACTTTCATCTGACCCTGGTGGAGCAGTTTTGTGCCAAATGGCTGATGTGGTTCAGGACATTCAAGATTAACAAGTCTGTGCCACCTTCTGTGTGACACTGAGCCTTGCTGTATCTGTCTGACCTCTTCTTTCTAGTACAGGAATGCTTTTAAGCAGAGAGCTCAGGCTGTCATCTCAGAGCTGATTTTTCAAGGGTTAGATCTACATGTGCTGCATCATTGGGGGAGAGCAGAAAGCTTCCATTTACAATTTGATAATGGCACAAATCACATCTCAAATGCATCAGCATGAGCAGGGCAAGCAAAGCATTGAAGAAATACTCTCAGCTGTACCTTGAGCACGTTCACAGGCTGCATTATGGTTTTTCTTTATGGATTGTATTGTCTGGTCTCAAGCTCCCTGCACCCTCAGCTGCAATCCTGTGGTTGTTATTACATACATATCCTGAAAAGGTTGGATTTATTCATCAAAAGGCTATTGTGTACTGTGCAAGTGGATGGTCCAGCTTCTTTTTCCATCTTCTAGAGAGCCTCAACATTGGAAATTAGCATGGGGACAATCTCAGAAAGAGACTGCTTCTCAAAACACTGGGTGTGCTCTGTTTTGATCGATGCAGATCAGGCAGGCACAAGCTGTTAAAGTAGATGGTGATAGAGAGGGAAAACTGAGCGAAGCAAGGTATAGATGCTATAAATCTTCTGTGGAAGAGTGGAAGATGGCTTTTATCTTTCTAATTACTGTTTGAAAGAGCATGAATTAATTTCTAAAACCTTTGGTGGAAGGTCTCTTTAAATTTTTTCTCCCTTCTCTGCAGTTAAGTACAGTCCTTTGCAGAATGGTTATCATACTCAAAATATAAATTTACCCAACCTTTACTGCGTGCTGAGATTGCTGCTGTGTTATCACAGCCTTACAGGTTTGGGTTGCAAGTGATTCAAGTTGTAAGTGACAGCTGCTGGCTGAGCCTTGCTCCTTGTAAATGCTGCTGTTGCTGTCTGGGCTGCCAGGCTGAGGTGAACAGAAATCTTGGAGTGTCCATGATAGCCAGACTCAAATAATACTGCTTGGAGCACATTCAGCCTGTGAAGAAGCAATTCACAAGCTGCTGATGCCAAGCAATGATGATTTTAGATTTTTCTCCAGAACAGTGTGTCCTGTAACTTTGAGTTTAAAAAAAAAAAAACTGGCAGAGTTTTGTAGACGTGCATTAATGCTGACTTACGTATCTGATAGTGGAGAGAAATATTGCTGCAGTTCAGGAGAGCAAGTCAGCTTCCACAGGTGCTTCCTTAGCCTTTCTCCTTGGTGGTGGCTGTCTTTTTTTCCTTTCCTTGCCCTTCCTTCCCATGCTCAGACATTCTGGATATGTGAATATACCAATTTATGACTCTTTTCTGTTGATTTTCATGATGAATAGCTGTTGAGCTGTGCTCCATCTCTGTCTGGGAGAGGTGGAATTCTGACACTTCATCTGGCAGTCAGATCTTTGCTTTGCTGTCCTTTCCTCCTGTGCAGTGCATGAATCCAGCAGAAATGACTCCCCAGCTCACTGGTGTTGACTGTAAAGCACTGATAGCCTGGCAGTTTGAATCACAGCTGTTGAGTTGGTGTTTCTTCATCTACAAAGCCTGGTAATTCTCCTGGCCTGTCAATGCACCAACTGGTGGCAGTTCTTGAAGTTGGACATGTTGGGATCAAAATAGATCCTTCTGTGTGCAAACCAGTGTGTGGGAAATCACAAGATCTTCATGGTCACACTTAATGCAGCTCTTCTTTAAATAGGACAATATTGCTTTCCTGTTTCACAATTCACTGCACTTACCATCCATATTTACATGCTTTCATCTTTCACCAACTCTATTAGGAAAAGCTTTTAACTTCAGATCATCAGTCATTTCATGCCTTGTGTTGGTCAGGTTGCTGCTCTTAGAGTGTGTCTGCTGGAGGAGGGTTTGTATCTGCCTTGAGGTGTCTGTAGCATTCAGTGGTACCCCAGGAACGCTACAGGTGAACTGGAAAGGGACTCTGGATCTTTAGATTATAAAAGGAGTTTCATAACAGAATGCTGGCTGTCTTCACTGTAGTTTCTGTAGTGAGAACCTACAGGAATTTATTTGCAGTGGTGCATTTGACACTTCCTTTGCATAAGAAAAGCTGCTTTGTTTTCATCAGAGAAGGTGAAGCATTTCTTAGGGAGCTATTAGCTCTCCTCTCCCTCTTTTGAAATACTGTATTTTGCTGTCTTGTGAACCTGGAAGACCTTACATGCAAATATATGCAGCCTTTTATAAATCATTGCAGTGGGTGAGTTCTGTGAGGGGGTGCAAGTGAACTTCAGCTCCATGTGTTGCACTTCCACACCTGATAAATACATTGTGAGGGCTTGGAGGGAATACCAGTAAATATGGGGCAGTATTTTTTAACTGGCAGCTCATGTTCATTGGCTCTGAACTGCATCTCTGGATGCTGTCAACAGATCTTGGACTCTTTGCCTCTCATGTTGTCACAAAAGCATCAGTGGCCTGTGTTTGTAATCCTGCTGCACATCTAAAAGCTGACTCTCAGAGCAGAGCTGACAGCTGCTCCATCTGTTGTTGACCTCAGCTGGTTCACATGCTCTCTGTGCTCTCCAGCTGATGTGATGTGTGCAATAATGCAGGTTCACCCTGAGGCCTGGGCTGGCACATTTGGGGAACTGCTCAGGATGATTTCCTGAGCTTGTGAGTTGTGCCTGAGCCATGATAGAGGAGCTTGGTTAGGTTTTCAAGTGCTTGGGCTGCTGTTCAAGGTGCAGTGGTTCCCAGAGCTGTGATTACCTGCAAGTTGCACAGCTCAGCTATAGGCATGGAGCAGGTCAGGGAGGGCTCTAGAAAAGACAGGAATTTTCTAGGAGGCAGTGTCAGGTGGAATGGCCCTTTTGGCAGGAGGGAGTGACAGTATGTAGTTGGCTGTACACAGGTAGAGGAGGGTTCTGTAAAGCAGTGTGTGTGTATATAAAATTTAATGCAAAAGCAATCTCAGTTCCCTTTTTAAGAGTGAATTCACCCCAGCCTGGGAGTTATCCTGTATGTGGACATGCCAGGCTGGCACTCCTCAGTACAAATCCTTCTAGCCTCCTGCTTTTGACCACTTGCCTACCCTGCAGACAGGCATCAAAAGAAATTGTCTCATATTCACAATTTTCTGATGGACTTTTGTGTTCTCTTGATAGCTGCCATTAACCTAGCAAAGCTGAAGCTCTTCAGACATTACTATGTCATGGTAAGTGAAACACCTGCACACATGCATGTGGGGAACTTGGAAGCTGTTCAAAGCTTTTGATGGAATACTTATTGGAAACTACTGCAGCTGGTGCATGTGGTAGAGGCTCTTGGCACTGCTGTGCTTTGGCGTCTTGGTCAACTGGCTTACAATCCTAAAAGCAACTTCCTTTTTTCTCCTAATGGTTATATCCTTCTGTCTCTCTTTAAATTCCAGCTATTTGTAATGCTTCCTGATTTCCTCTGGAGACAGCTTGAGCTGCCAGTTGAATTGATGGGCTTGAATAACATACTGTAAACTTGCTAAAAATTAAACTTGGGACCAAATGGTGCCTGGAGATGCATGTGTGCAGTTCCTGATTAAATCAGTGGGAGCCATGAGTACGTTTCCCAGGAGAACACAAGCTTCTTAATGATTTCCAACGGCCTCATTTCAGGCTCTCCTAAGTGGCAAGAGTAATAAATTACAGTTGTGATTCTTGAAATTCTATGAAATTGTAATACTTAAAGAATTTCCTGCTGTAACTTGAGTATGTTACCAATAGTTTGAGTTATTGGATGTTCAAGCAGTAGAACCCTCAGCCTGTATCTTCCATGTTTATTGAGGAGCATAATAATGCTGATCTGACATAATGAGTTGTCTGGGAATTGCTTGAGCTGTTTCTCTGGGGTAAGAAGCTTCTGTATGGATGGTGCTATTGTTCTCATGCTTTCTCCTTTTCCTTCCCAGATTGTGTGTTACATTTACTTCACACGGATCATTGCAATTCTCATAAAGATTGCTGTTCCATTCCAGTGGAAATGGCTGTACCAGGTATTTGCCAGCAAAGGAAAATACATCCATTTCTTGATGTTTTTCTCTATTTTTCTTTAAATATAACTGCACAACAAAATTCCATAAAGTGTTCTTCATGTTGTACTAAAACATCTCAAAGCACAGTGCAGTACCCTGTCTCCTCTTGATTTTATCACTGATGTGCTTAAGGTGAAAGAATATATTCTTGGTTTTATGTTTGTCCAGCAAGGCTGCTGGATTATACATGAGATGTCTGAAAGTAATTGCATTATTGATTTTCAGTCTTTCAATTTAAAAATGTCTGAAGGAAATTAATCAAGAACATACAAAGGAGAAAAAATTAGTCAGGTTTGCTCTATATAATTGAAGCCTGAGGGAGCCAGGGAAATGGACTTTTGCTCTTCCATCTTCAGGCTTCTTTTGCCTATGGACTTCTAAGTACTTGGTTTCTTAACTCATAATCCAAGTGACTGTGCAGGGAGTCCTTGGAATACATTAAGTGTTGAAAAAACTAAGCAATGTAGTGATGATTCCTTCCCCCACCATTTAAAAGCCAAGTCTTGCCATAGTTCTTTTAAAGCTCTGGAGACCTGGATAGAACTGTAACTCTATTTAAAGTGACAGGGAAAACTGAAAGAACAAAGGATTTGACAGCCTTTAGCCTGGGATTAATGACAACCAGACAGGAATTATTTTATTTCTGCTGTGGCCCAGGCCTCTTGGCCATTAAACCTTGAACCTTATGAATGAGGAGCAATGTTTCATGACCACAGAGCATAGCAGGACTGAACACCTCCATCTGAATCTCATGTTTTCCCTTGCAGCTGCTGGATGAAATGGCCACACTGGTGTTCTTTGTCCTCACTGGGTACAAGTTCCGTCCAGCATCAGACAACCCTTACCTACAGCTCTCTCAGGATGATGAGGATGACTTGGAGATGGAAGCTGTGTAAGAACCCCTCTCCCCTTCATTTGATTTGAGAAAAGTAGTATTTAAAACCAGTTTACTTGAATCTCTCTAAATCCTTCTGTGACAAAGAACAAAAATCTGCCCACGTTTAAAGAGGAGGTGTCTGTATTATTGTGTGTAAAGAGATTTGTGGTGTGCACAGGAGCCTCTGACCTGGATATTGCAGTAGTGTGGAAAAAGCTGGTAAAAGCTTTTCATGGGGCAAAAACGTGCCCATGAAAATGTGAAGTAAGAAAGCTTTTAATTTTAATTTAGATATGGAACATGAATGAGTTTTACAGTTCATCATTAATGCTTCATATTTAAAAAAACCCAAGTGAACACCACCAATCTGCAGAGCATAAATAATAATAACTATATAAAAATATAATAAAAATAGATGAACAGGGTGTAAAGTCCTTTCTGCCTTGGTGTTCAGCATATAGCTTTGCAGGAATTTATTTTAAGCAACACTGAGCCAAGGAGATGGATTTTTATCAGTATCTTCCCTGGTTTATTCCCTGCTGTGAAACCATGAGGCACCACAAATGCTTCAGGACCTGAGCTAGTCTGGAAAAATTATACAGCAGGGCTCAGGCTAAGTCCCTGTCATTTTCCTTGCAGTGGTTTTCTGAGGACTTAAAAACTGAGTGGCATTTTTGAATGTGTAATTAAAAATGCCCTAAGAAATTCTGCCTGCCAGGAGTGTTGGATGCAGTTTTACATACCCTGGAGTCTGCTGCCTTAACAGGAGCAGAGCTAGCATAATCCTTTGGTAGTTATAGGTTTGATGCATAATTGCAATTCATGTACAGGCTCAGAAGCCTGTTCCTCAGAGTTTTTTCAGTTTGGTAAATCTCCTTTACCTGGGTGAAATAAATCAACACTGTTTTTATTACAGAGGCAAAAAAAGTCCAAATGTGTTTGCTGTCATAGTTAACTGAAAAAGAAATTAATCTTATTTGAAAACTGCTACAAGGAGGTTTGAATCATAGAATCCAGACTGAAATGTCATGTAAGGAGTTTAACTTCTCAGAAATATGGCTAGTAACAAAGATCTTTTTAAATGCTTAGCTATTTTTGCTTTGGGTCTAGAAAATCTGTCATTTTTGCAAGTGGAATCCAACTAGTGGGTAGTGACCTTAAAATCACTATCACTTACACGTGTTTCAATGGTTTATGTAAGAAACTGGTCTCAGTTTGGAAGCTGTTTGGTAAAAAAGCATTCACATCAGGAAGTCACTGTGTGAACTGGCAGGATTTGTGATTGTACCAAAACAAGCTTTTTTCCTTTTTGCCTGTTAGAGCAAATTTCAACTTTGTATTACGTGCTTAATGAATTTTTGCTTGTGGGGGTTTTGCTAGGACTAATAATAGGACACCTGTCAAATACAGTTATTTTAGTCAATTGAGAAGTTGCTAAATTTAGAAGAATCTGCCAAAAATGAGCTGGAGGAAGTTCAATGAAGTAATTCAGTGATTTACATCTCATCAGAGTTAGAATTCCTTGTGAGCCTTTTCCTAGTAAGGCATTTTGCTCTTTGCTTTGGGAGTTTCCATTGTTGTGCCTCGTGGGTTGTTCCCCTTAGCCTTGCTTAAATTTTCTGATCTGATTCACCAGAAGTTTTTTTCCATTTGGGCACTTGGCAGGGTATAATCTGTGCCTGGTTCTCCCTTCCCCAGCTCCATCAGGAAGGTTACATTTGTAGATATTTGAAAAACAGAGTTTATACACATTCTGAGACAGGTGAAGCACTGCAATGGATGTGTATGGAATTTCGCATTGATTTGGTCTTGCTGGTCCTGTTTTTGTGTTCATAAATATTAAATGTTGTTTGTGTGGGGGGAAAAGATACTTGGATTTATTTGAGCAGATGACTAAGTATCTGTCAGTGTCCTGACTAACCACTGCATGAGTGTTTTGTCTTTCATGTGATAAATACCCCACTTGTCTTTACAAGGCTATGGCAGAAACTAAAAACCTGCAAACTTCATGGTGTTCTGCTATGTCAGTTTTATTGTTATTTTCCTTTTCCAGAGGGTTTTTGTTTAAAATCAGGTTCTCTAAAACAGAAGCATTCAGTTCCTTTAGACTCAACATTTCTATGAACCAACAGAGGGGAAAGCTGTGAGGTTATGAAACCTCTTTTCCAGGCTTGCTTGTCTTCCATGAAAAACATTAAGACATTTTAAGTGCAGCTCTCTAGTTTGGGTCTGTTTCCATGCATTGCAGATGATACAAATCTCAGTCTGGCAGTAAATGCAAATATTGTTAAGGACGTTGGAAATCTGGAAAGTTTCAAGAAAAATCTGCAAATTAAGTGTCTGCACAGAAGCAACACAAGGCACAAATCCTCTCTTTGTAAGTCCTTGTAACTCAGGAATAAAATACAAATCAAGAACAGCAAAGATAACTCTGGCTTGGGGAAAGAAACACAGACTTTGCTGGAATCTCTTCAGTTGTTCCAGGCTCCCCAGAAGTTGCCCTGACAAGGAGGAGAGTGTGACTAAAGCTGAGCTAAGGAGCTGTCTGTCCTTTTTCAAGCAGGTTCAATAGCCATTCATCATCAGCAAAGTGGCTTTCTGTGTATTCTGTGCTGGGCAGCTCCTGAGCTCTGTCAGTACGTGGGCTCATTGCTGACAGTTTGTTAGGTCCAAGTTCTCTGCTTGAGAAGGTGCAGCCACACTTGGCAGAAAGAGCTGTCAGGCTTCCAGTCCTAATGCCATTTCTGGGGCATGAACACAAAAATATGAACAGTACAGTGGATGAGGTGGGGTGAGGAAGAGGAAAGGAAGAATTTTTTGTTTTTCTTTTCCTTTTTTTTTAAATTTCATTAACTGAGCTGACTTTAGCTGCTGGATATCAAAATGCTGTTTAACAGGTCTTGGTTGAGAATGATGTTCCTGCATGCAGGGGAGGTTAAGATATTTCCACTGGAGGAGGCATTGCAGCACAAGAAACCATTAATGGTTTTGTTCTCAAGTTGGTAAATCTATCTTACTCAGTGTGTGGAGACTTTGCTTCTCCTTAACACCCAAAACAGCCTCAACACAGAGAACTGTTGTGGTAACACTGATCTTTGCTTATGCCTTGGGATCTGGAGTTTCTCTGTGTGTCATGAGGAGGCTTGTCCTGAGATTTGATGACCTTCTTGGTTGTTTTTCTCTGCTTTCTCTCAGGTTGTGCTTCATGGCAGACTGAATCAGGGTGCTCTCCATTTGCAGTGATTTTCTTCACCTAACACATCTTTTCCTTGCAGAGATCAGCTTTTTTGTTCTATGGCTGATCAGTTTTCACTCCAGTTTGCAATAGCTTGTAAGGACTGGCTGCTGCCAGTATTGCAGTGTTTCTTGTTGGACTATAAAACAAATAAACGGCAGAAAAGACAGTTGAAATCCACCACTGTGGAGAGCTGGAGATGTTCTGAATGTTTAGCCATTCCCTGATACCTTGGATACAATGCAGGAGAAAAATAAACCCTGTGAAATCTGCAGCACATAGCAGTGTGTGATGGAGTGCTTGGGGAACTCCTTCTCTGCCTCATTTGTGACAGATATCCCTCTGGCAGGCTCAGAAATGCTCTCTGGAGAGGGATGCTTCACTGAGAAGGATTTGTTGCATTTTAACTGCTGCTGATTTGTGGGCTGGAAATGCAGTTCAGCACACTGCAGGTGAGGAACATTTCCCTGCTGTATTGCAGGTCAGAGCTGAAGTGCTGAGGACAATGAGGATTTCAGTGTGCTTGGTCTTAGTGCTGCTGCCTTATTTTATTGGGCACTAAAAGGTGATGACTGGGCTGATTTTGAGAGTGAGAGGAATTGCATGTTGTGCCTGAACAGTCTGAGAAAAGGATGGACTTTTTCATGCTACTTCTTCATGCACTTGGCACGAGACCAGAGCAGTCTCTTCAGCTCTTCAGATGGGATTTAACCTTCAGTCTTGGAGAATCCACACAGAAATGTCTCCCAGCTATTTGCTGTTACTGAGGGGGGACACAGTAAATGGTCTCTCTGGTAGCAAAGGATGTGGTTTGATCTGCCTGCACTTTCAGTGTGCAGCTGTCTCATAAACATGGGAAGTGGATCATTCCCTCCTGGCTGGAATCTTCTGTAACATTACTTCTGTCACCACCTTGGCGTGCAGGGGCTCTCTGATGGCATTGGAGTGCAGTGCTGGAATCTGGGCTGTGTGCCAGGTGGGATCTTCCCAGCTGGGAGTCGAGTGTTGGGACTGCTTTGGTGCCATGCATGTGTGAAACACCTCTTAATACATCCCAGTGTCTCTGCTGCTGCATTGCTGTGTGAGGAGCTCATTTCTGCTTTGCAGTTCATGGCAATCTTCAGCTCCTCCCCGAGGAATGGATACTTAGCTCCTCATTCTGTAATTATGAAGTTGATTATTTCTGAAGAGTAAACTTGGTAGCTGTCTTGCTGCATCCTCCTATGCTTTTCAGACTATTGCTTTGATTTGCCAGAATCTTTCTGCATTCTAGTCTTGTTCTCCAGTATGTAACTCTTAGTGTCTTGTGCAGATTTAATAAGCAAGTTCTCTATTCCATTACCCAGGCAATTTCTGAAAATACTGAGTAGAAGTGAACCCAGGACAGAGGTTCCAGGCCTCTCTGGAACCACACTCAATGTTCTTACATTTTTGACAGGAAACCATTAAATAAATCTCAATGCATATTTTTCCAATTAGTTATCCATCTACTTTGGTTTTGTCTAGCTTATGTTTCTCCAGATTTTTTCCTATCTGACTGTGGGAAGGAAACCTTTGGCAACAGGGAGAACTTAAAAGATCTGCATGCCTCTGTACTGATTAGTTTGATCTCTTCTAGGAAATGTTTATTGTGTAGTAATTCCATCTTTCTCCTTTAAGCAACCTGCTTACTTTTCTCTGTACTTGCCTTCTTTTACTTTGGTAGGGATAAAAGTTATTTGATCTGTACTCTTGTGACCCTTTTCTATTAAGCCCAAGCTCATCTAGGCCCACTCTAAAGTGAGAACCAGTGATGATCCCAGTATGGCCACTGCTGGAATGTCACTGAACACAGCAGGCTGAGTAAATTATTTTTACAGTACATGAGCAAAAGCTGGGATCTAACATGGAGCTAAGGGAAGAGGAGTGTTATCTGAAGATGACTTCTCCTCTTGGGGTGATGCTATGGAGATGTTGTTAGCAGCTCTGATCAAATAAAGCACTGTGACATGGTAAACAGCAGGTGAAAGTGCTCACAGACCAACAGGGGCAGCTTTGAACAGGACAGGTCTGTGTGTGCTTCCAGGCATCCCTTGGGAATGCATTGAGCTATTGGCACTCTTACCTTCAGCATCCAAAATAACCTTTGTAGCATGTTTGTGGGGGGAAAAAAATACCTGTATGGAATGAGAATCACACTGTGCAAAAGAATAAAGGAAATGTGTTGTGCATCCAAATTACCTGTTTGGTGGAGCAGCAGGGAAAAGCTGAAGAGGTTTTGGAGAGCCAGGGCAGTTCCAAGTGGAATGGCGCTGCTCTGCCTGCAAAAACAGCTCAGCCTGCCTCATATTGAGTGTATTGTGAGGCTTTGTAGTTCAATGGTCACATTGCCATGACAAATCCAGGCTTGGATGGTATAAAAGGATAACTTCTCCTTTCTGTTTTGTGGCTGCTCATTTTGCTATTAAGAGGAGCTGGTGTGCATTAAGCTAACAAGGTTCATCTGGGGCACTGTCCACTGTGTGTTTGTGTCATATGTTGTACCTGTTAAAATGCAGAAGAAAGTCACAGAAGTAAGGGTGGTCAGCTGCATAGTAAATGGGGTTTTTAAGTGAACTACACAAATTTAGCAGATAAACACCTGGTTTAACTGTTTTACCACCTTTTTTGAAGTATGGGCCAATATTACTTGCTGCTTTAGTTTAGCGGTAGATGGGAAGGGCCTTGAGGTGCTCAAGGACAGTGGCTGTGCTGTGTCAGGATGGCGCAAGAGATCAAACCTGGGACCTGCTCAGTGTGGGTAAAGAGATGTGAGAAGTGTTGTTTGATGGGTGTGAGCTGTTGTTGAAATGGATTTTACAGTTCAAGGTCTGATGTCTGATGCTTCTCCCTTCTCTTCTAGGGTGACGACTTCAGGAGTAATGGAGGGCATGAAGAAAGTCAAGAAAGTGGTGAATGGTTCAGCAGAGCCTCAGGGCGAATGGGAGAGCACAGCATGATGGACTGGACTAAGGCAGCACTTTCAGAGAAACTTTTTTAATTTATTAATATTACTCTCAGTGGAAAGGGAGCAACTTGCACTCCCCACCACTGAAACTGCAGAGTGGGGTGTGTCTAGGGAGAGCAAAGCAGTGCAGAAATATAACTATTCCTTTGATCATAAGAAAATGGGATCTCCTGGTACCTGCAAGGAGCCTGAAGCTTTCCTAGGGATTTTGGGTAGCTTTTTTTCCCCCTTTCTGGATCGGTTCTTTATTCTGAATTGTTGTGTTCTTCAGAATGTGTAATACTAATGTGAAGAGGGATCTTCAGTGTGTATGTAAAGAATATATTTTATATAATGCTCATATATATGCACACACACACACACTTGCTTTGTAACATGAATGCTGGGACTTGCAAAGCCTGTCAGAAGGTGGGAAAAGAAGATAAAGACATGTAAGTATTTTTTTTTCTTTTTATAAACTCTCCTTTTGGCTTGGATGGAACATTGCAAAACAAATGGATGGGAACAACTGCAGTTATTTGAGAGACTGAAGGGTATTGGATCAGATGACTTCTGCCACTGCTCATGCAAGTGTGAAAGGTGATAAGTATCTTCTTGTCTTATCCCTGCAGGTGTCCACCTGAATGTGTCAGGTTTTCAGATGTGTTGCTATACAGGAAATGAGTGACTGTTCTCCATTAAAGCACTAAGCCCATAGTGCAATAAGTGTTTATGTACATTGTCCACTGTCCATGGAGTTGCTCTTGACTCACCCCCACCTGACAAGAAGTACACAAGAGGTGTAAGACTCATGGTTGCTTTTTAGGGGTCTGCCTAAATGTTTACTTTCAAGCTGTGACCCAGAGCTTCATAAAATATTTTCAAGGTATTTCAAAAGTCACTCCTTTCTAGCACAGTGTAAACAGTATCAGACTCTCCAGTGGAAATCTGTCTAGCCATTTTACTGCACCATAAATCTCTGGTTCACAGTTACCCTGAGTTACTGGGCCTCTCTGGATGGCTACTTGCACCTCTCTGGCTGTGTAGGATTAATAACACTGCTGTTTTGGGTGAGCTGAACTGGTCAAAGTAGTATTGCCACCAAAAACAGTAACTCCTAGTCCTATTTTTTTTTTTTTTTTTTTGGCAGGAGAGGAAAAGATTATGACCAGAACCTTGATGCAGAGGAATATGGAATCCTTCACTGTTAGCTGCAGTCTTGCAGTGGAGTCTTTACAGACGCGTTCCAAAATGCCTCAAGTGTTTTCTCTGTAGTCCCTGGGGTTGTCAGTGGGGCAGTTGGTGTCCAGAGCTGTACTAGTGAAAATGGGTGCTCATTTGGGAGAGGATGGAAGTGGCTCCCTGGTGGAATGAGGATTAGCTTTAACAAAAATAAATCAGCTCTTAAGTCATTGACCCACTGCAGCCTTGATATTCATGCAGAGACATTTTGCCATGTGGTGCTGTGGAGCCAAGAGCTTCTGCCAGGGTGTCAGGAGAGGCATCAGCAGAGCTCTGGATGTGCCAGCATTGCTTACAGACTCATTCAGGAATTGGTTTTGTGGAGGGACTGCATTTCTGGGCACACCTGATGAGAGGACTGTTAGCCTAAAGTTGATTTTATTCTTCAAGCTGAGGAGGATTTCCTCCAGAATCTTGAACCACTTCCTCACTCCTGAGCAGGGATTGTGGAGCTCTTGGTGAGCTGTCTGTAGCAAGCCTTGCTCGTTGAGAAGCAGCATCCCTTTCTTCCATTGCCAATTCTTTTCCCAGGTGTTGGTTCCATGCACCATGGAGGTGGTAGAAACAAATCTACCTGCTTTGATACCTGGAGCTGCTTTCTCTTCAGATAAAGCACAAGAAGAAGAGCATTTGTCTCTAGCTGCAGAATCTTCCTCTGATTTCCTCCTCAGCTGTAACTTCACAGTTATCACAGCAGTGATGGTTCCACTTTGCTGTCATTGCATTGCAGTGAGAGTTTTAGTGAGAAGAGATCCTGTACCAAGCAAAGGCTGTTTGGTGACCTATGGGCCTTTAGGCCTCCTGGAGGAAGAAATCTACATATTTAGCCTGAAATGTGAGAAATTGGACCATCAACAAACACAGGCAGTGCCAGCTCTTACATGTAAATGCAATACCTGGAAAACTCATCCTCTGCAGTTCCTCTGTCCCTTGTCCTGCATCCAAAGGGCTGCTCAGACAGGCTGTAAAGCTTGTTCAGAGAAGCTCTGAAGACTTGAAGTGTGTTGGCACTGAGGTATGTAAGGGATGAGGATGTGCTGTCAGGAACAAAGTGCATCTGGACAAGGCCATTCTAGAGCCTGTTAATCCTTTTCTGAGCGAGATGTGAAATTGTCAGAGGTGTGCCATTTCACCCAGAACCACGAGGGTTGTGCTGTGATCCCAGGGAATGCTGAGCTGCTTCCAGACAGCTGCCTGTTCCATACCTCAGCATCAGGGGAGCTGACAACTTGACAAGTGCTGTTACCTTAGTCTCAGGTTTCTTTTGGTTTTTTTTAATATGCACTTTTTTTACTAAAGTTGCATATGGTGTAGGTTTATCTGCCAAGTCTCTGGCTCAGCAGTCAAAGGCCAGAAAAATGGGTCATTTCTTTTTGTCTTGGCAGGAAAGGCCACAGCAGTATTATGAAATTTCATTTTTTTACAAGAGCTTTTTCCAAGTTCAGCCCTGAGCTTCAGCAGTCAGCTCCACAACCACCTTCTGCTGGTGTTTTACACAGGATGCCAAGCAGCAGGAAATGGTCAGACCTGAGCATTAGGAAGGAAAAGATTCTTACTGTGGCCATTTCCAAAATGAATTTTTTCTGGTGCAATTCCTTAGATCAGGACGGAAAGTCTGTCTTGATGGATGGGAAGTTGGAGATTGGAAGGGATGGCTGCAGTTGTGCTTCTCTCCAACACAGCAAGTGCTGCACTGCAAAGCATCAAAGGCAGGACTATTCCCTCCCCTTCCCAGGCAAACCCAGAGCTGCATGGCTGGCATTGCATGGCTCCAGGGCCAGGGGAGTGCAGCAGCTCAGAGCTCCCCAGGCAGGATAATCAGTGCTTGCCTTTCACGTGCTGACAGCTGCTTATCTGCCAGGAAGCTCTGCCTCTCCCAGGGAGGGAAGAGAGGAGCTGTTGTGGATTACAGATCGTTTAGGAATGTGCAGCTTTGCTTCCCTGTCGCTGCTTTTAGTGAAGTGAGGAGCTGGAGCAATCTCCAGCAGTGCCCAGCAGAGAGTGACAGGAGTCCCGGAACAGCAGCTCTGCTGCAATGAGAATAAATGGTGTGAATGCTTTCCCAGCCCAGCACTCAGTCCCCTCTGCAGACAAAAATGAGATTGGTTCAGTCTTCACTTGCAATGCAGGATGTGCCCCGGTAAATCCCCGTGGATGCTGACATGCACGTGGCACTGCTGCTCTCCTTCCTGCTCAGCAGGCTGTCTTCCAGAGGAAGCCTCTGTGCAGTGCCACTGCCAGCCTCTTGCATTCTTCGGGCTGGAAAATGTTTTCCTTGATGGTTCATCAAGAGACATACTAAAAGAAAGCCAGACATAATGGGGTCATGTGGAACAGTGCTGCTGCCTGCTGGAGTGGAGCAGTTGGAGTTGAAGGAGCCACATGCTGTCCTATTAAGATGCTCTTTCATGTTGTCTGTTGTGATGTGTGCAGTGCATTGTTCAGTGTTTCCCCCCAGCTCAGTGCCCTGTTCCTGGATTCCCATGCTGGCATGCCCTGGGAGAGCATGTTGTAAAAATTTGCTGCATTGCAGCATTTTGTCTGGAGCTCATAGTGTGGAAGATGTATTTTTTCTGAGCTGAGTGGACTCTCTCTGGCACGAGTGTGCATCCACCATGTGTCCTTGAGCACTGTAGCATTCCTTCTGGCCCTGAAAGGCCATGTCCTGATCACTCCAGTGTGCACATCTGCTGCAAGTCCTGTAGAAGATTTTTAGTGTCTTTTTTCCTTACTGTGTGTTCCTCTTAGAGAAAAGCAGTTGAGCTACTGACAATCAAATTGATGAGAAGGGAGGGGATTTTGTTTGTTTGAAAACTGCCCAATTTGAAGCAAATACTGGGTACTGTAGATTCTATTGAGCTCTGAGAACTGGAGTTCTTTAGGTACTAAGGAGAGGGAAGGAAATCTTTCTTCCTTTAGCCTACTTGGTTTGTCTCCTTCAATTTGACCTGTCATGCTAGCTAACAGATTGCTGTCACTTTAAAGATGATGTTTTATAGCTCCTGTGTGATGATTTCTGCTTCACTCCTAGAGCACATCCCCATTTTTCACCTGTGTACAAAGAGAGCAGCTGTGGTGTGCAGCAGTGGGAGGTGCAGTGAGGTTTGAACATAGTGGGACTCACACTGAAACTGTGACCCTGTGTGTAGTGCCAGTGGCCTCAATGTTTCATGAAAGCTGAGGTGGTGCTGCCCAGAGACACTTGGCCAATGTTTCTTTGTGTTCCCTGGGGCTGATGCGCTGTAAAACGTTGTTTTAAATTGAATTAATTTGGCTTTTTTTTTTGTAGCTGCTGGATACAATACTTTTGGGCTGATAAATCACTTTTCCTTAGCAATACTGGGAAGCTGTGCATTTTCCCTTTGTAGTGTCTTGCCTGGATATAGCAGTGATCCAGTGAGAGCTGCACATGATCTGTGCTCCCAAGTGGCTGGAACAGGATGTAGGAAAACATCAATACTCAGGTGTTGAGTGGGGTAGGAAGAAAGTGGCTGAGAAGAGTCACTCCTTTTAGGCTGACTGGCTCAAGAACCCATTTATGTTTTCACTGCAGCAATCCTCTAGAAAGGACAATTCTAAATAAATATTTCCCTGTGGGATTTCACTCAGTGTTCTGCTCTCTATGTACTGAAGTAGTGTCTGACCTCCACATCATCAGAAGCACTTCATCCTGCAGCCAGTGGAGCTGGTACCTGCTCTCTTACAACAGAGTATGGGTCTAAATAGCTTCCCTTGCCCTTTAGGAACTATTAATAATTAATTCTAGATCCTCTTGTGTCATTAAGCAGCTTTAGGGCACCTTGTACAATGTAGCTTTGAATTAATTCAGTAAATGACCTCCAGAAGAACTAAAAAAGACTTTTCTGTGTACAGCAAGGTCAGTTCTTGGGGTTTTGGTGACCTGTAAATATCCTATTCCTCAGTTCCTGTTCAGATGTAAAAATGGATTTTTTTCAGTATTTTTTTAAACTTTATTAAAAGAACAGCAAACAGTATTTGAAGAGAAGCAAGGTAGTAGTAGACAAGTCAGGACAGTCTGTGTAACTTGGTTTCCCTGCTGTGATGCAAATGTGTAAAATAAAGATTGACCAGAAAGAAGTTTTTAATGCATCTCATTTTCTCCTTCTGAACTGCCAGCAGCCAAGCTGACCCATTGTTCCCAAAGTCTGCATTTCCCTCTGCTCAACTTCTGTTTCCAGCCATCAACATCTGCATCATGGATTCAGGGCCAAATCACAAAACTTGTGTGGAAAAACTTCTGTTGAAGGGAAAAGCTTTCCTGTCAGTGACCCAGTGAGGTTCACTGAGGTGCCTTTTCTTGAGCTCCAGGTACTGGAGCTGTGTTTGTGTGTGCTCAGCTGCTCTTTTACTTGTGCAAGCTGAACTTAGGCAGTGTTTGTGGACTGACTCTTGAACAAGTGTTTCTCCCAGCCCTGTGTCTCCTGCAGTCTGGGGCAGGCAGGAATTCAGGAATACCTGGGCTTGTTGCTGCTCCCCAGCCCTGTGGTCTGTGTGTTCTCTGCTGTCAGCTGCCAGGTGAGGGCAGATGGAGCTGATGCTCTCCACCTTGGTGTCCAGATACAAATTAAGGATAGAAGGTTACTTTTAAAGTAGTATCTATGGTGGATCTGGCCACACTACCTCAGAGGGGCAAGTCCTTGATCTTTAAGTTAGACTGATGGTGATCTGGGACTCTGTAGTTGTGCTCTTTCTGAGGTGTTGGTATCTAACCTGGCATTCAATTCTGCAGACTGGTTGGGTTGGCAGGGATGAAGAGGGCACAGCATTCCTGTGAAATTTTCTTCCTGATAATCCCCCATCCCTCAAAGGCATCTGTCCTTCAGCACCAAATTCCAGTCTTCAAGATGTTTCTTCCAGTTCAGCCTGTGGTTCTCATCCTTCCACTGAGGGGTAATGCCTGAAGCAGCCTCTCTTCTCTACCCTGCACCTCCCAAGCAGCCACTTCTGCACTGCCTCAAGCCTCTGGGTGAGTGTTTTACCAGAGAGCAAAATATAAAAATGGTTCGAATTTGGATTTCTTAATGCCTCACTGTAGGTTAGAACAAACTTTCCTGATGCAGGTGGTTGCTGTTGTTGCACTGGAGTGGCCTAAATCTCTTTAATGCAGGTTTCTCCAAACTGAACATCCTCTGCATTTTCTGTCTGTTGTGTATTTGGCCTTAAAACATTCCCATTCCCCCTTGGCATTCCCTGACAGCAGCTGAGACTCATCCCCAGAGCTGCCTGCACTCAGCCATAAGGAAAGGTGAAATGTTAAGGGTGGAGTGGGTAAGGTGGGACTGAATTGTGGGAACACTCACTTGACAAGGAGACCAAATGAAATTATCAGTGGAAAAATTGATTCCTGACCATTTTCTCCAAGGAGACACAAAGAAGAGCTCCCAGTATTTGAAGTCTATTGCAAGCAAAGGTCATCTGGCAGACTTCCACAGGGAGCAGAAGAAACAAAAGCACAGCTAACAAAACTTTCCTCAGTGTTGTGTGTTTGGATGTAATTTTGTAGGTGTTTTCCTGCCCAGGGGAGGTAAATTGTTCTACCTGCACTGAGGTTTTTCTTGCAGTGTCTGACATTCCCAGCTGTCTGATCATTTGCAGCTCCTCATTGCACTCCTGGCTGCCTGCTGCCAATGCTTTTGCTCAAGCAAGGTTATCTTCATGACTGCAAAGAGCTGCCTTCTCCTTAAATCTGCTTTTGCCTTCCTTTGCCTTCTGACTGACAGGCTCTAATGAGAGGAGAGTGTTGTAGTGCCCTGTATAGTGAGTGGTCAATAAAAACCAAATTGCTTTGTACAGCAGAGGTAATAACACAGCTTGTTATTGGCACAGCTGATCCTGATATTGGGACCCTTGGTAAGGAGACAAAGGCTTTCTTCTGACTTAAGGAGTAAAAAGAGAATATCATCAATTTCTTTTGTCCCCTCTCAACCCCGGAAAATGGTAATTGGGGGTGACACTGCTTTGTTGTGGCTCTTCTCCCCTGTGGGATATTTTCTGTGGGGTGGCTGAGACACAATATCTGAGATAGCTCTTGTTTTCCTAAGAAAAAATAAACAGGGCTGTGAGGTTGTTACAGGGTGGCAGGTGGAATAGGTGAGGATTGAAATGGAAGAGGCAGTGGGAAATTCCTTTAACTGATCCCTCTTGGGCTGATTGTGCTGAGCTTGGCAAGAGCATCCTTGATGAGAGGAGCAGTTAAAACATGGGTCACCTGTAAGTGTAGCAATAAATTTGGGGTGTTTAGTCCCTGAGGACATTGCTCTGGGGTGCAGATCTTCTGTATACCTTCAATGCTGAGTCATTTGGGTAAGGTGTCACAATATCCCCTGATGTTCCATCACCAGCTTCTCCCTGAGATTGCACCCACTGCTTACCTGCAGGTGTGAGAGTCCCTGTGAGTGCTCCAGCTGCTGCTTCCCTGACCTGCTCAGATCTGTGTTCTGCAGGAGCTCTGTGGAGCTGGGAGGAATCCTCCACCCAGCCCAGCTGTGAAGGTATTGATCTGCCTCTCCTGAGAGAAGCC